ACAGTTTTTTTCAAATCTGTCGGAGTATCTTTGCAGATATCTATTGTCTATTATTATTGTCAATTGTATTTAACTCTTCCAACCTGCAAATTCATCAGTGGAGCATATCATTCTAACAAGTACCCATTTCTCGGCCAAACCTTTTAAATATCAAGTAAATTTTTACTCCATGTACTTTTCGATGAATGGATCTTTGAAGTGCATCATCTCTCCTACAGTGTACAGTGATAACCAAAAGGTTGGAATTTCCGTATAAAACTCATATTCCATCATAAAGTCAGCACGCACAAGAATATTAACATCTTTTGAAAGCATCAGAGAAGGGTGACATTTAGTATTTTTAAACTATGTATCATAGGAAGATTTAAACTATTCTGACTAAGATTCTAAAAGTTGTCACCGTCCAAGTTTTCTATGGAACCCCATCTAAAATTAAAGTTTCTAACCCACATCTAGAAGGTCTACGGATGTAATGAAAAGTAACAATAAACCCCTACAAACCAATACTTGAATATCAATGAGATGCTCACTGGCGACTGGCCCTATTCAGGTAGGCAGTTACCTGGGGTTCCAGTGGGAAGTCGTGACCAGTAGGGTGCAGCAGGTCGGGTGTGAGGACAAATACTCGCCAAAGACATTGGCTAGCGGTTGCGCTATATCATGAATTGGCAGAAGTTAGAATTCATGCACTGGCCAATGGATCGGGTCCCAGTGGCTTAATGGTATGCGAGCTCGCCTTGTAACCAGAAGGTCCTGGGTTCGAACCCCGGTGGATGCGTACTGTTGAAGAGTCCCAAACTAGGACGAAACAGCTGTCCAGTACTCCCAGGTTTTCCAATGGTTCTCTAACCAATGTCAGCTCATGATGAAATCCTGTAACCAAACCATAAAATGTTTTAAAACGTTAGTTGCATTGATTATAAATAAGCAGTATCACGTTGGCAAAATGGCTGACATTACAAGGTCAGAATGCCAGAGAGTCACAGCCAATAGAGTACATGAATCCGACTGAGGTAATTTTAGCATGTACTAGAACGAAAAAAATAATAAAATTTGAGAGGATTTCTCAAAGCCTAACATGTTAATCAATAAATAATCAACAAACACGTTGATATAAATAAACTCAACTAAAAATAAATTAAGTGAAGAGTACAAATCATGTAAAACACAAAATTTATTGAAAAAAAAAACAATACAATGATATAACATATACGCATGAGGACAATCAATCACCTTTTGAAAACAACGGATTTATTAATTGCAAAGAGAATTTTTGAGGTTAAGCCTACAACACACTGAAAAAGTAGAAGGATCCGAGATTAGCCAAACAATCAAGGTGCAAATTCCCCCTTGGAACTGTGATAGTACAGTACAGTGTCTTACAGTCACAGGCCAGCTTTTATCTTCTGATATTTGCGTAGCTCAGTGAATCAGAAGGCACAACGGGCGAATAGACAGGCGCAAACATAACAAAGTGACTACAGTTCTCATTCAGTTCTGTACTGAACAAACTCATATTTCCAATCAGTAGTAGTCGACTAGTGCAACGTGTATCATACATTCAGAACAACTGTCATTCATACATTTATAAAAAAAAATGTCTTTAAAAAAAGCATGCATACACAACAACTATTTCAACTATATGTGCGCTTCACTTCAAACAATCAATAATTGGATGTATGCATAATTCAAGATGACACATAGATCAGTGAGTTTGTAATGAAAAGATGACAAACATCATTGGTGGTATTGTGACCGAGTTAATCATCACTTTGATTTTTTTTGTTATTGTTCGTTTCATTACACTTTTTTCTAAAGTTTAGATTCATTACACTGGAATGTAAAACACAATTTATATTGAATGAATTGTTAAGACGATTGTACAATCAATCTTCGCGTAAAACTAAGCGACAGAGAACAGAATACTTGAACTAGTGATTTTTATGAAGTAATTAATACATTCGACATTAAAATACGTATATACATACATAAGTCTGCATCAAGATGGATACAATTAGCGAAGAATTTGTACATATTGAGTAGTTAGTGCCGAAGTTATTCACTCTCTTATAAATTCCATGTGATAGTTTGAAAATTTCGCCTACGCATTTAGGACTATCGAATATTTGCGGCCTTGTTTAAAATACACCAGTCAGTTATTCAATGAAGTCAAGTAGCATACACTTATGTGATTAATCAGTACAGCTGTTAATTGGAACTCACATATAGATAGTAGATCAGCATTTTGGTCGTCAATCACCCTAGGTGGATATAACTCTGTAGTTTAATAGGATGAAGGAAGTAACCTTTATGGCTACAGAGAAATCATGATAGTAATCATTCGCAATGACTACGTGCAATAAAAAATTAACTGTAGTGAAGTTTAGGAAATCGAATGTGTAGATGAATTGATTAGTCGGCTTCAAAAGATATGGCATATTGTATTCATGACAGAAGAATTTCAAGTTCAGCAATCTTTAATTTACACGGAACAGACTTCTATTTTATTGAATTCAAAAAGAATTTTTAACAGCATTAAATGAAAGACTTTGATATATATATATATATATATATATATATGCTTACGGTTCATCAAAAAAATTGTGAGGAGCTTCCCACTATACGACTGATATATAGAGACTGACTGGTTTCAAGGTAGAACTTTGCACAGATATGCAGCAGTTCGAGTTACCACACTCCATGTAGCACACAAAGCAAGAGAAGAGAGTATCAAAAGAGATATAACAAACAAAAGTGTAAGGCAAAAAGATTAGTATTATGGAAGAACAGTAGAGTTTTATTGGCTATGATAAATCACAAAAAGTGAATACATCTGCGCTAGCTATTGAGCCATATCACCGATTGTCTTCAGTCACTGGTGTTTACCACCCTGACGACCCCTACTAGGACTAGCTCAAAATAAGATTCTATGGATTTACGCCATGTTTTCGTCTGACTACCAATGACTCTATCCCAACCTGATCATGTCTTACATAGCACTTCCCGTCAGATGTTATGGCTAGACATGCATGCGTAAAAAATGTCCTAGCCATCTCAATCTATGTAACTTCACAAACTCGTCGATTGATTTTCCCTCCTTACCTAGCACTCGACGCCTAACCTCAATATTGCTCACCTTATTATACCACTTAACGCGGGAGATAGGACGCAGGAACCTATGATCAAAGACAGCTCTCCAGGCTTTTCATGTCTTCCACCCTCAATGGCCAGGTCTCACAGCCATAAAGGAGGAAAAGGAGAACAGCTGAGCAGTACACACACCCTTTGGTCGACAGTCGGATATCACGTCTACGATATATACAGCCTTAATACCTTCACTAAAGTTATCGAATCACAAACTGATAACTCTTTCTTTTCTGACTTCTACTTTCAACTTATCATAAGTGTATTTGATCCATTCCACAATGCCACAGACATTTCTATTTTTCTCATCTTGGAATAATATCAGTTAAATAACATTTTACTGATACTTCATGCATGCGTTGTGAGTCATATAATCTTCAGCATTTACCGACCCTCAATCCTTTGGAAAAAGTAAAATGAATCCATGCATTCTTGGCAAACAATTAAACTTACTAACTTAATTTTTTTTATACATGCACATGTTTTCTAACACTATTGATTTCATAATAATACCACTACTGACTAGTCACCAGTTTAAATTCAAATTCCTTTCAAAATTTGTTTTTGATGATCTAATCTGCTAATAATTAACAAGAAAAAGGTAAAGGTAGCTAAAAACTAGCAACAACCTTAAAACTGTGACATCATGCATGAATGCAGTGAAAATATGCGATCATATTCACATATTACGAGTATACACGTTTATGTCTTTATGCAGTAACATATACATATATGTCAATAATAAACAGACATCTAAAACATCATTTCAAGCAGTTTCAAACCAAACACAAATTAAGCCACTTGAGATTCATGTTTTTTATATATATGTACAACAAATATTTTCTGAAAAATAGGGCCTCAAATGCAAATAATAATTTAAAAGTCATATGAAACCAGCGGTAGATCTAAGGTGTATTAATTGAGGCAAATTAAATATAGCTAATTTAATTTAGATATGATGGAGAAGATTTGTAGCTCAGTTAGATGTTACTGATGCAGTTGTGTTCTCTAAGCTTGATGATTTGATTGTAAAGCTTTCATTGTCTTTCTAGGCGACATCTTCAGCGCAGACTCCAACAAGTTACTTAGAGGTATAATTGATTTAAGTTTATTAACTTCGGAAAAATAAGATTTATAAATTCGGATCTGAGGGAGAACATGAACTTCCTCAAGGACGCATATAAACACAAAATCTTAATCAAGAGGAGCACTTGATATTGCATTACGTAACTTTCCCACACACTGTAGAAGTCTCACTTAGCAACAACAGCAGCGAAAGGCACTATGTTGTCATTTCACTCACCTTAGCTACAACAAATCACACTTACTCAGTAAATATGGATCAACTAAACACACAGAATTCAGTTAACCGAAATCACTTCTTGAATGCTAAGCTGAGTTACACTTATATTATCTGAGGATGAATTTTTTTTTCCTTCACGTTCCCCAGTGGAACATAGGGCCTCAAGCTAGTGGCTTGTTTATTTATCTGTAAGTGTTTATTTTACAGGATGAGGTTGCTAGCCTCATGCCCAACCTTTCCTCTTCACCAGCATTATTTCTGGCTTAGCGAGGTAAAGGAGTGCGTCTGTGGCCGGACCATGTGCATGGTCGGCGAGCGTCCTAACCGCTATGCCACCGACGCACTGAGGATGAATACTACCACCTAATCGTGCAGGTTGAAGTAGGCGGTGAGATATTGGAACTCCTCTGAACTGACGGGTAACAAGTGCAAAAACCCATCAGGTTATACCTTCACATGCCTACCACCAATGAATATTGGAAACCTACAACAGTTACCATCTATACACAAAGAACGTCAAAAAGAAAAACTTTCAGGAGTATGTCAAATTTATGCGACTATCTCAAAGTTTAACAACCTTAGCTAAAATAAAAATAGATACACTAGAAAATTCTGTTTCCATATACAATGCGGAAAAAGCAATTAGAAAACAAAATTGCTACAAAAAAAAAACACAGTATAAACTAGAGGGGAATCATAACAAACAAAATACACAATAATACAATCAAATAAGTACTTGCAAGGTAATCATAATTCACTCACTAGTGTAGTGTTAGAATACTCCCTAGAAAATATAAACATGATCTAGTCGGAGCGAAATGTGTGTTTTTTTCTTTTCTTTCCTCAAAACGGAATTGTCGAAGGCATAATTATAAGCTGAAATAAAATTCCTACTATACCATTTATATGCATTCAGAGAACAGCACCACTTAACTGTTGGCTGTGAACAATGAAGAATTACGTAGGATTATAAAGGTAGTGTTTTTGACAAAAACCCTAAATAACAAAAATAACACACTGCAATCAAATTAAATTCAAGAAAAATAATAACAAATAAATAATAATGATAATAATAATAATAATGAAAATAAATTTTAAGAAATCACTGTAAATAAATAAATAAATATTATCAGTATACATTGGAGCATCTCTAAGATAAAATGTATATATATCTTACAGAGTAAGTGTTTAGAAAAGAAAAAGAAAAAAGAAATACGCCTGGAAAGCATTTCCAATTGATGAATACATTATCATCATGGTCAGTTGGCAAGGGAATTTTTTTTAAAAAAAAGAGGTAATATGTTGATTATTTTCTACCCCGTCGTCGTCGAATATCAACGGCAGTAGATACTGGATTAATTTTAGCTTTAATAGTCACCGTCGGGGAAATAATTAACACTCCATTATCAGAAATTTTGCTAATATTATCAGTATTAGGTAATGTCGACGAATCCACTTCATAATTTGGTCGAATTTTAACAACTCTATCAGTAGTATACTTTGGCGAAGATGGGTCATACAATTCACGACTAACACAAACTGTATCATCGTCATCATTTGCACCATCATCATAATAATCATCACAGTTTAAGTAATACGTACGTGACGTGAAATCATGAAATACATCGCTGACTGTTTCATCGTTCAACGCCATATCAGAGTTCTATGTATTAGTGGCAAAAAAAGAACGAAAAGATGTAAAAAAAAATTATTAACATGTGGGTAAATTGAAACTAACATTTAAAAAAAATAAAAGTTACACGTGATTATGATAAAGTCTTCGAAGCTAGAACAGGTGAGTTCAGTCGTTGCAATAACTACTGGAAAATTCTGCCATAGTGGTAAGCCCTTACGATCGAACATAATCAGAGTATACAGAGATTACTGTATCTAAGTTTAATGTTTACCTACCACCTCTTCGAAAACTTCCTACCATATAAGACCATCAGATGGCTTTAGTCCTGAAACACAATCTTCAAAAGCTGAAAACATATTAACATAACGAAGTTAAACATTAAAATGTCATTAACTGAAACCCACTGAATGACTGCAACATATAAGATTCAGATGCCAACCCACACCAAACATATATATATTTATATGCATTGCGTCGGTGGCTTAGCGGTAGAATGCTCACTAACCACGCATGTGGTCCGGGGTTCGATCTCCGGCCGATGCACTGCTTTACCTCGCTGAGCCAGTTATAAGACCGGTAAAGAGGCAAAGGTTGGGCATGAGGCTAGCAACCCTATCCGTAAAATAACACCACTGCTACCGAAACTTCGAAGGTCTAGATTGAAGCCCTATATTTCACTGGGAACGTAAAGGTATATATATATATATATATATATATGGGGCCATTACGCTCAACAGTAGCGTTCATGTCCATGTGAGTGGTGATAAACGCCTGGTCCCCCTTAACCCCACAGACAGAGATTTCAAGTCTATAACCCACTGGCCAAAATATTGATTATTATTCTCATGAGTCTCGGCTACACACAGGCGAACACCATCGTGATAAGATAGGAAATGATTATAAGGTGGTACAGTGGTGAGAGCTGTCTACTAGCCAAATTGGTAAACAGTAATTGACGTCAATGTTTACGTTCTCAAGATTGGTCGTGAGAAAATATGGACAAGACTGATTCAAAAACCGACCACAGTAGACTTTGCGTAGGCGGAGATACAGTTAACATATAGATGATCTGACATTCAAGAAACAGTCACAAAAAGATGAAAGATTAACTTTAAGTGAGAAACAACCAATCAGAAGACTGTGTTTGTTTGCTTAAATAATCTATAATAATGTACATGAAAATATATAAATATGCTTTGATTTCCTTAATAAACGATCTGTTGCCTGGCCCTTGTCTTCTGCTGTTACAGTACTAGTTGATAAAAAATAAGAATACAAAAGTTGTAAATTGTCACAAAACAGAAAATGCAAATGGGAGAATGTAATATAAAGATCAGGATAAGGCTCGAATGTTTCGGATCTATTACGATGGAATTAGAATTCAGCCACGCATCTATTAAAATTTCTTCTAAAACGATGTAACGTGATGCAACCAAATTTTCTTTTCACTCCAATCAAGTAAGAAACTAAAGTTGAGTGGATCAATTTTCTAAATCATGTCCTCTAGAGTCCACAGAGGTTCAGATGATTAGATGGACCTCAGTCAAAAAATACACCTCGTTACGCGATTCAAACGAAAAATGAATGACTCCATAGTCGTAAAACATCGTGGTCTTTCGCTTCCTTACAAAACCATCCCACTCTGACAGGCAAAAAACAATAAGGTAAGCGATGAGTATAATACACGTTCACCATAACGGGCTAATTAAAATGAAGCGATTTGATCACTTAACAAACTAACAAGGGGGATATGACTTCCAAGATAAGTGAAAGCATCGATGCATTCAATCATTTCATTCTCTATAGAAAGACAGCTTACTGTTCTAGACCAGCCCTCCGGTAAGAAAATACGTTCGGAAGGTGGGAAACGAATTTCAAACATTTTCATATAGTGGATCAGAGTGTTCGAAAACTGCATCTTATCATCATCTCTGTCCAATAGCATTATATTGTGGTAAGAGCTGTCTACTAGCCAAATTGGTAGACAGTTATTTACGTCAATGTTTACGTTCTCAAGATTTGTCGTGAGAAAATATGAACAAAGACTGATTCAAAACCGACCACAGAAGACTTTGCGTAGGCGGATACAGTTAACATATAGATGATCTGACATTCAAGAAACATACACAATAGATGAAAGATTAACTTTCAGTGAGAAACAACCAATCAGAAGACTGTGTTTGTTTGCTTAAATAATCTATAATAATGTACATGAAAATATATAAATATGCGTTGATTTCCTTAATAAACGATCTGTTGCCTGGCCCTTGTCTTCTGTTGTTACAATATTATCTTTTTTGAGTAGATATATGCAGACAGGTATCTACAGTTACGGGACTTAGTATTTGTCTAAACACACGTCCTATTTACAGTCTTTGAATATTTTTCATTCGAATTACTCTTATTACAGAAGTACGAATGAAAGCATTATTGAGCACGTTTCTTCATAGTGAAATTAAAACTAACTGTGTCTCGTCTATGCTACTGAGCGACTGTTGAAGAAACCATACCCTTTATAATGTGATTTTCATCAGAAATTGTTAGGAACTAAAAATATTAAACTGAATAACGGCAGAGCGGACCAATACATCTGCGATTCGCAGGAGACTGACAGACTAACATGGTATTCGCAGCAAATACATAAGTTAACAGCCTTTAAACTCCCTATTAATACCTATTAACTTTGCCACCAAGAAAAAGCCGCTAATATCCATCTAGTGACAGGTCAAAATTGAGAACTAGAAATACATAATCTCTAATTCTGTCGATGACGATTAACCCAACATATTTAAAATCACACTAAGGCACCTATGCACTGTTTCGCTTCTTGTCAACAAAAGTAATACCAGAAATAATCACACAACGTAGATCTTTCCACACTAACCAATACTTGAAAGTGACCACACTTCAAATAGGCTATAAAACGAAGTGGACAGAAAGTAAAGTGATATTAAATCGGACAATAAACGAAAATGCAGAAAGATCAATAAATGAAAATAAGCACAAAAAACTGCCTTAACTTAGAAGATAACACAGAGTGCATACCGATTCTGTGATCGACCCAATACCATGTCCACAGGGTCGATAATAATCGTAATAACAGTTTTTGTTTTAATTACTTCTTTTACTATTCTTATTATTACTATTATTATTAATATTTACTTAGTACTAATTCACACTACGAGAAACATAACTGGCACTTTACAACTAATCAATAGAATGGCGACATCACACATTTATTTGCACAAACCCATACAAAGAAAACTGAATGAAATTGAGGATAACTCAAAATGGTTTTGTGTGAATTTAGTAAAATCAGAAGCTAAGCACGATTTCTTAGCAATTATGTGCTGTCACCTGATCTTATCAGTGAATATTTATATTTGTATATATATTCCTGAGAAATAAAATACCAATAATTCTAAACATTGTAGTATAGAGTATTTATTTTATTTATTTCAAAAAAAACACAAACTTGGTAGATTATGGGCACTGAGATGTACCGCATGCATGTTTACCAAGGGGAGTCGGAAAATCCTGATTCCAAAGCTATGGTCTGCATGAACCCCAGAATCCGAAAGGACAGAATAGAGTATGAAACTGTTTCGGTCACCAGTAACAATGGGAACGTATCTACTGACGCTGCTCCACTCCCTTGTAGATCAGACTTCAAGTCGAAGGCTTGGAGTTTGGCCCCTTATAACAACCATCTGTTTCGGTCTGGGCGTCAAAGCAGTATCTTAGCCCAGCGTAAATATAAAGTATATGACCACCTTTCGATATTACAGATAACATGTGAAGTTCCTGATAAATGGTGTTAGTTAAACAGGCAGATATACACTGTTGTTTGGGGGTTTCATGGCTACAGTTATCAACATTTGAGGATTGTGACCAACACGGAAGTGTCAGTTAAACAATATTTCCTTTAAGTTTCGAAAGTGTTAACTTTCAATATTTTTTTTACTAATTTTAGATTTTTCACGTACAATGGTAACATTATTTATTTCCTCTGTATTGAAAAGTTAGTTTATCTTTTTCGGCCAGTAAATTGCGTTTAAGATCAACCTTGTCAACTATGCATTTCAGTCATACAAATATAACGCTAAAAACAAGCCATGAAAATCTCTGTTATGACTTTTCACAGTCATAATACTATCTGGAAAATCCCTTATCTGCTTACCAACCAGATACTTTAGTGGAACCAGGTGGAATACAGTACCTAAATGACGTAACCTAATCACTCATTAACACTGATACAAATTTCGATCAAGTGAATTCATCAATGTTTTCAAACAATTGACTCCTTATTCTTAAAGTGGAGCCTTAAGTTGGCAAATTAATTCTGCAGTTATGTCCTTCATATGATGAATATGTATACAGCAACTGTTCCGTTAAAGATCTCAATAGTATTGACCTTCAAAACACAGAATAAATAGCAGAGTTATTGGTGACCTACCAACTACCACATTAGTAAGATGATAAACTTATTTAGAAAATAAAACAAGTCTTTTTTTAAAATTAATAAAATTGATTTCAAAATTCAAAACTCGAAATCAAAAACAATTATTTGCAATAATTACCTTGGCAGTGTCATTTAAGCGTTGTAATCGTAACAATGTTACGATATCAGCATTGGCTAATTCTAACGCAACATCCAGTGGTAATTTTCCATCATTATCTGAAATCATCTGATTGGCTCGACGTCGTAATAACAGGCAAACTAGATGCACTCGGCCAAAACGACAGGCATGATGAAGTGCAGTCCGACCATGATCATCCTTTACATCAATCTAATAAAAGCAGCGATAAGGGATGAAAAACAATTTCAAAGTATTTTTGAAAACGACAACTTATAAAATCCAGTGGTCCATTGTAATGAAAATTCAGCTAAATTTGAAAGCTGATTTTTGTGCATGACTAACTGACTGACTGGTTTCAACGTGGAACTTTGCACTGATGTGCAGCAGTTCGAGTTGCCACACTCCATGCATCACACAAAGCAAGAGAAGAAAGTAAAAAGAAATGCAAAATAGAGACAGTGAACAGAGATAAGAAGCAAAAAGAATAGTAATATGGAAGAACTATATAGTTTCATTGGATATTATAAGTCACAAGGAGTGGATGCATCTGCGCCACTGAGAACGATTTTGAACCATATCGGCATAATGTCTCAAAAACAATGTAAATTCCTACCGTTAAAATCCACTTGAAAAATGTTGAGTGAGCTAACTTTCTGAATTGGCTAACATTACGAGCAAACAAAAGAGCAAGAGATATAGTGGTACCATCAAAACAAGAAACTAGTCTTCTAACACTAAAGTATTCACCCTGGATGTCAAAATGTCTATGTTGCTTGTGAGTTCGTACACTTCATTGGAAAGCTGCAGTCATTAACAGTAAGGGCTTATGACTATTATATATATGGCTTACTAAATCAAATAAATAACTTTCGAAAATTGACTCTAGTTCTTGATCCTCCTTCTGTGAATTCCGAATGGACTACGCAAATACATTAAGTGTTGCTCATGGAACTGTCTGTCTGTTTTCGACATAGAACTTTGCACATATGTGCGGCAGTTCAAGTCGCCACACTCCACTTCTTGTAGCACACAAAGCAAGAGAAGAAAGTAGGAGAAATGCATATTAGAGACAGTAAACAGAGGTGTGAGACAAAGGAATAGTAATAACGAAGAACAAAACAGTTTCATTGGAAATCATAAGTCACAAGGAGTGGATGCATCTGCGCCAACCACTGAGAACGATTTTGAGCCATATCACCAATTGTTTCCAACCATTGGTTTTTACCGTCCCGAGGACCCCAACCAGGAAGTCTACACCTTCCTACGTGGCTTAGATTAACTGTTTTAGATTTCATTGACTGGTGCCATGTTTTGGTTTGACCGCCGCTAGCTCTTTTCCAGCCTGGCCCTATTTCAGCTAACATTGCCCGTCGAGGAAGGCGATGACTAGGCATACGTAACACATGTCCTAACCTCATGGAACTGGCACATAAGTTGGGTTGAAAATTCATATCAGATGCTGTTATTTGATAAGTAGTAACTGGCAGTGAAATATAGGGAGCGCATTTTATTCATACAAAAAAAATTGAAAAAATATAACAAGTGACCGGAACACACATACACACACGCACACACCAGCTCCTTCAACTTACATCTGCTCCATTTAATAGAAGAAATTCACTAGCTGCTATAGAACCAATGCGTGATGCTAATATCAACGCTGGGTAACTGACAGATGATTCACCAAGTTTCATTTTTACCTCTGGAGTAGCACCTGCAGCTAGACCGGATAAAATAAGAAGTGGACAACCAAGACGAGCACCAAAACAAACTAAATTCTCCGCAGCCTTTTTCTGCTCAGCAGAGTGAAATAGTGTCTTTGATCGACTTTTTGTGTTCAACTTGTGCTTTTCATATAGGGTCTTGATGACATTCATTAATTGATCTGAAGCAAAGAAATTTCCGAAACAATAATTTTCTTAAGACCAGTTAAAATTATAAAATGTACTTAATTAATCACTAGTTGTGTTCAACGTGATGAATAATGTGCACCAATAGTCAGTCAACAGTCAAGAGAAATTCCACAGCACCAAACGGCTATTTTATATAAATTCAGGATAGATGAAATAACTGGAGCAGAAGAATGGTAAGCGCCTTGCTAATAAATCATTCTGCTGAGATGTAACTGCCAGCAGTTTTCGCTTTCAGTTAGTTTATTTGATATAAACCGATTAGTAAAGGAAACTCAACAGTGGCATGTTCGCTACAAAAGCTGACGAAGAATATGAACCTCAGTCCTCATGTGATTATGTATGTGTAATGCTGGAAAAGACAAAAATATAGGCAAAATGGCTGCCTGCTGTTAACTAGTTTTCAGTGACTTTTAAACCAACATTAGTCCACGATGAAAAGCACTTTGAAACTTTAAACTTTACCAAACACTTGAAATGATCATCGCTTACCTAGAATAGCATAACGATATGCATTGTGTCGATTTAATTTTTTATCCAAGCTATTCGATTCTGGGATAGATGCCAGTGAAGACGATGAAACAGGATGACAGATAAGTTCAGGAAAATTATAACGTGTTTCAGCACGTGCTTTAATCCAATTATCGTACAACTGTTTAATCCACCGGGTAGCTTCCGTAGAATCAGAAGCTCCTCTATTAGGTATTGGGAGACGAGCAAACTTCAGACGAACCCATTTAGCTTCAATAAAGGCTTTGCGTTGCTCGAATGGTGTTGTCGTTGATATACGGGGAAACTCTGATGCAGTATATTTATTCCGATTCGCTTCAAAAATCTCATTCACAAATTTATTGCCTAAATTTAGCATAACGTGTAATAATTCCGGTTGCCAGTTATCCAAAGTTAGTGATCGAACCTGTAGAAAATACGAAATAAAACTAGAGTTGAAATGAGAATACTGTTAGTATAATTTAGTTTTCTATTTTAGCTATAGCTAACTTAAATAGTGGTACTTTAGTACATGGTACTGAAAGTAAAAGTCTAACTGTTAAGTTACGGCTGATGAGAGCGACTAGTTACCCACGTCAGGGGAATCTCATACTATTTGGGAGAAATATTGCAAAAGAGAAGTCTACAGTAAGGCCTGAACGGGCTTATATAGAAACAAAGGGAAAAATAATGCACATGATGCAAAAATTATTCCCCTTCAGGTTACCACGTTGTAGCTATCACTACGTGGTTGTTAAAGTTGCCAAACGTTATATCTGTATATCAAGAAGAATGTAAAAAGAAAGGAAAGGCACTTAAAGAGAACAGACAGAATCGAGTGTTCTAGAATGTCATTAGATAAAAGGAAAGAGTTAATAAACAAAAATGAAATTATAACTATGACTAAGAATGCATTTTCACTAGTGCCATTGATTTCGGGACATAACATCTAACGTTTCTAACCACAGGTTTCGGAGTCACAAGTACTTTGACAAGGTAACCTACACTATTCAAATTGACAGTAATTGACTTCATCGATTAGTAGTAATACGCTTTAGTTTGATTGCCCTTCTCTTTCTCACAACTTGACGCACAACATTAAGGTGGACAGTGAGCAGGCATATGTAACGTCTCCGGTGGCTGGGGTGTACATCTCGTACGTTGCTTTCAACACCTAATCTCTAAACAACTTAGTAAACAATTCAACCTAGTGTAGTCAATTTCATGAAGGCAGGGTTAGTCAAATGCTTGAATTCCTTTTCTTTCAATGGTCACGCTTTAAAATGACAAAAGGAGAAAGAGTAGAAATATCAAAACTAATTAGATGTTGATAAGTGAAGTCAAGAATTGACCTTACAGTGATTTATTTCCAGCTAGCTTACGCGAAATTTCAAATGTTGACTCTCGTGGGACATAACGGTGGAGCCTGTACTTTCTCACCTAAAATCACTTCAACTTCAAGGGTTGTTGGTGCATCTTATTCAGTCACCATTAAGTTTTATTCAACCTACTTTTATTGTATCGTTCATATCTTTCTTAGTATAAGTTAGCGGCCGTACGCAACTAGTAAAAATATGAGTTACGTCCAGAACATTACCTATTTATGATGAAATAAGCTTGAACTCAACACATTCTTGGACATAAACCACCAACATTCCACTCACATTCAACAATAAATTGCACACAAAAGGGGGTTGGGGTAACCAGTGGGTTCTTTATTTGGACCTTTGCTGGCGTGTTAATTCACTTCTCATCTAGAAAATGTCACACTCAACTGAAGGATTGTTAGTTTCTACCCAAACCAGATGTATTTGGATGACACATTCACCGTATGTCTGAAAAATATTTTGCTGCTATATATGAACTTAGTAAGTGCAGCCATGCGATTAACTTCATGTTGGAATCCGACGACTCACTTTTTTGGATACCACACTAACAGAGATCTGGAGGATTCTCTCTAAAGATGAATCTACAAAAAAACGACAGTGTACTCAGTAAGTTCCAACTAACTTAACAACAGTAATGAGAAGCGGATTCAAAATCAAACATATGCTATTTAGTTTTCTGATATGTGCTTTATATGTTTGTTAATCCGACATCCGAAACGTTTTCATACTTTCCAATAAATAAATGGATTCTGAAGAAGAAGAAGAAGAAAACAACGACAAATTCTTCTTCAACACATGCTTGCATGTATTAAGGAAGTGAAACGTACCACAATAAAGTTATACCCTTGGTAAGCAAAATGGAGAATGTCCATCGTATAAAGACACGAATAATCCTATCAACTGCTGTCATATAATAAAACGGTCTATTTAAACTTCCCTCTCTCTCTCTCTCTCTCTCTGCATAGCACGTGGTGTAGTGTAATATTTCAGTATAGGGTATACACATGCTATACTATCTAAAGAGAACAGTAGGAAAAAGTATCCGTCTCAAGCGTAATAAATCGAATTAGCAAACAGCTATGGGAGTCAAAAAGGGAAAGGTGAAATAAAAGTGTCAACTTCTGTTAAAAGACCATGAGAAAAAAGACAGAAGTGGAACAATATAAGATTTTAAAAGCATTTATCGCAACTAACATGCTACCATTTTTTTCACTTAGTTGAAATAAAACGGTCCATGTTCTCGAACACTTAACAAATCGCAACACATACAAATGCTATTCGACTTCATTAATAAGTATTATGACACTCGATTTCGTCATGAGTTCTTACTTTGGCTTTGGAAATTCATTTTAAAGGCAGTCATCGGATTAAAAGATGAGACAATTTATCTGTTGCTTATAACAGAGAGGAAACACATTGACATTACTGTGTTCGACCATAAGCTATGTCTTTGAGGATTCAGCCACGAGATCGACATTCCGTCAAATGTTCTGGAACAACGGTTAGTGACCTCTGACAAATGACTGTTTTCGAATTATAGGGCTGAAACTCACTCGTCAAACATCGAGTCACACACTTGTTTTCTGAAGAAATAAGTACTTTTAGAGCGGTTTGTGAAAGTGAACATTTCAAAAAATAAGATAAGTATCATTATACACTAACTAACCTTAGAGATGTGAACACCTAGACTTCTATGAACTGCGGCACATAGAGTACACAGTGTCACACCTAAATTAATGCTAGCCCATTTCGCATCTCCATCACCACAATCAGCACAAAAACGATTTCCAGCTAAATCAGGTTCACGCCATAATAAAACCCCACTCTTGTTTTTCAGCGCATTATAGTCTGGAAGCGACGACTGAGAGGGTTGTGTGCAAGGATCATTCGTACGACTAGTAAGGATACCAGATGCGGAGCTAACTGAAGGACTATTGGAAATGTCTAAGCTGATTTGTGTTGGGCTACGTGAACGTGATAAATTAAGTGAATCGTTAGTGAGACGCGGTAAATCAGTCTGGCAGAGATCGTGGAAACCAGAGCGCAGAGTATTCACCCACAGATTTAATTCATCCGCACTACCAGCCTGTAAATAATATGTTTTATGCCCTGAAGATACAAGTTCAAATACAAAACGACGATCCGTAATATGATGTAATAAATTCATTTGTTTGTCTCCAGCTGTCAACCGTTTATTTGGTTGAACAACGCGAGCTGTACAAAATCTAAGGTTGGTCTCCAAAATAATCCATTGTGGAGCAGCTTGACTAGTCAATTGCGTTAGAAAATTATTTTCAGGTTGAGTATTGACTGACGGTCCGTTTGTTAATCGACTGGTAAACGATGTTGACATATTCACTTTCTGATTAAGCTCTGTCAATACAGCGTCACTTGCAGACTGAAGATCTGTAGACGTTAACCCAGGAAAGCGCTTACAATACATTAACTGATTGTCATTTACACGGAACCAACGACGAACCCATGTACGCCAACCTTTTTTCCCACTCCTCTTAAATAAATAACCCTCTAGTCGAGTATTTAAGGGATTATTTAGGTCTGCTGCATCTTTCTTCTTGGAAAATGAAGTTTTAGCTGCTTTAGTATCACTAGAGACATCGACAGCTGATTTCTTTTCAATATTAGCTATTAAACTCTTGAGCTTGCTAACTAACATTGAAGAGGTGAGAGTATTTGTTTTATTAGAACTGTCAAATATTGCATTCACTTGTTCGGAATAAGATTGCTGGACAGACAATGCTAAAATAATCAGTCGTAAATATGAGACAATATAGTTCGGTCCAATAATTTGACGAATATGAGATAGATAAAGTGTTGCCGTGGTCTGATAGACTTCCTGAGCTTCTTTGACTTGATTGTCAAATGTGTGTAAATCTACAGATCGAGCAGGATTCGCAGAAGCAGCACGATTTATAGCACTTTCTAAGTTTTCATGAGCACGCTGAAAGTTCGACCGAAGATCATGCAGTTTGTTTAGGTTATCATTACTTTTTGTCAAAATTTTTTCAATATCTGATATTTTTGTTGCTAACTTTCTAGTTTGTTCAGCGAATAAATTCATAAGGTGAGCAGCATGATTAAGTATCTTTTCCGCATTAGACTGATCCCATTCACTGGTCAGGTTTGTATTGAAAGTCCATAATTGTTTTTGATCGAAACCCAAACCAATACATTTAGCCAATTTGAAGAGAGAAGAGGAAAACGCCTCACCAGTCTGCAAAAAAAACAAACAAACCAAAATATATATGAATAGTATTAAGAAACAACACTTGGTAGCTATAGTTCCTTATGTTCATAGAAATGACAAGGGGAATGAATGATTCAAGAACAGCTACCAACACAAATCGTAAGTGATATTAAGGCTAGCAGAACCATTAAAATCAATAGGATAGTGTAATTAAATCTGTATTTGAAAATTACAGTTGGTTGTTGTGAATCTTGAGTTTAGATCATTGACAAATGGTGAATATGTAACTGATGATGTATGTACTGATGATTAAGACGTACGCGCGTCACTATATGCCCCCGTAAATGACGTGGCACGACCCATGAAGCATAGACTTCTGTCTTTCTCTCGAAACGCTCTTATATGGCCGCGGGTTCATAGCATGTGCCAGGTAGTCCCTATTCACTGCCTCCGTGCGGCGACTATTCCTCATGAGAGTGAAGACACAAATGCAAGCGGGTGGCGCTTACAACCAGACTGGTGTATATGCAGGTCTACCAAGGGTAGTCGGAAAATTCTGATTCCAAAGCTATGGTCTGCATGAACCCCAGAATCCGAAAGGACAGAATAGAGTATAAAACTGTTTCGGTCACCAGTAACAATGGGAACGTATCTACTGACGCTGCTCCACTGCCTTTTAGATTAGACTTCAAGTCAAAGGCTTGGAGTTTGGCCCCTTGAGACAACTACCTCAGCATTCGGGTATAGTATCTCAACCTTCTCACAAACTATGAGATTTTGGGTGGAGAATTTCTTGGTGCCCATAATGTATCAAGTTAATTTTAATAATTTGAGTAATAAATATTCATATATATTGACTTTACGCCAATTTTCAGTATAAATAACTCTCCTACAACAACATATATGGGTGAAATATTTCTTCAGGGATTACTATATTAGCTAGCCACCCAAATTACAGCAGAAAGAACGGTTTTCAGTCGTGACTTAATGACTGCAAGTCAACAATTGAAGTATATAGGCAACATTGTCAACTGTACGCCGTTATTCCAACAAATGACCTTTATAAAGGCAATACTACTGACCAAATTTTGTTTGAGTTTCTCGAATTTCGTACATAAAATTCTTATAAAAGCAGCATGGGACAACCTCATAAATCTGTTAGTATTCACAGCCCTGAGTCGAAACAAACTCAACTGTGAAAGCAAATGCAAGTTCATATATTCGGAAGTGAGCCGCATCTATGATGTGTAGGGCGAAAACAGTATCTGACTATCAGGACACTGCAGGTGGAATGAGAACCACACCTGCAATCTGATGATCAGACGGAAAACGCTTGGACAGACAAGCTGCCTAAGACCTTAAGGAACTCGTACTTGATTGTGAGGTTAAAACTGACAAGCAAAAGAAACCCAATACCAATGGTAAAACAATAGAGAATTCAGAGTACAATACTAGACTCAAATTTTAGACGAATCACAAACTGACAAACCAAAGATAAAATACTTACATTAACCGATTGACTACAAATTTCCTGAATGAGATTATAATAAGCTCGAATCCGACAAACTATGAGCTCAGCATGAGCGAGAGTTTGAAGCAGCTCAGGTCTATCGGAAAATGTTTCAAACTGATTCAATGGGCAAGACATTTGTAAAGTCACGTCGTCATGAGAATTTGGAATATCTCTAAAGTACTGGACAAAATCCGCACCAGCTGACATTTGTGCCGACAGAAAACGGTTCCAAGACAAATTGATGTGCAGACAGTGTATCTGGTGTAAAAATGCTGATAAAATTAAAACTAGAAAATAAGGTAAAATAACACTAAGTCACTCTATGAGTGTCTATAATTTTTAATCTAAATAGATGATAAACAACAGTATCTTAAGGGTGAAACTTTCATATCGAATACCACCTAAATATGAAGAGATAACTGACTGTTCGCCTTATGTGGGGGAAGAGGGGAGTAGCCACAGGTTATTTAAACGCAGATGGTACAATGACACATGGACACTAACTCTTGCCGATTTGCCATATATTCACCAGTACGTTTCTGCAACTGTGTTGGAGGGCTTGGAATAGATGAAAATATCCTAATCGCAACAAGTTAGTGGAACGCTCATAAACCATTTTTATTGTCTATCACCTAACAAAGAGGTGTTTTGGGCAGGTAATTTAACAACCTGTATAACGCTGGAAAAGTTAGCCGGGTATTGAACTCGACTGCTACGGAAATAGAGCTGATTCGCTTAATACGCTAGCATCTAGATATTACATAAAATTACAGCCTTTGAACCACCCAAATAAGGTGTTAAAACTTTCAGTCATCACTTAATGCAGCCCACGAACTGAACGAGGTATGTTTGAGATGCTCAAAGTGTCTCAATGAACTCCTCCTGGACAACAGTGCGTAGAGGAGTGCCACACCACACGGCACTCAAGCCTCTCTTAATTATTTTGTACATCAATGAGTTATCTGCGCTCACCGATAAGTAAGTGACTTAAAAATCTGGAGAGAGCTGAAGGGTGACAGTGATACGCTCACGTTACAAAAGGACCTCAACAAATTGTCAGTGGTTCAGAGAATGGATGCCGCCGATCAATGCAGCGAAATGTACAACCGTGAGCATTGGACACGCAAGCATCAGCCCCTACGAACTAGAGGAAATAAAATTCCCATCAGTCCAGACTCGTTTGGATTTACGTGTCATAGTAAGTCACAACGTAAAAACTACAGCACACTGTCACGCGTTGGCTGCACGTAGTTTCAGATAATTATGGGCGATTCGCAGAGCCTTCACTAGAATCACCATAGATATTTTCACCTCCTTATATACATCTCTGGTGAGGTCAAGACCTGAAAACTGTATCCAGGCAGCCAGTCCTTTCCAAAGTGGACTCATATATTCTAGAAAGGGTTCAAAGGAAGGTGACACGTATGATTCCTGGCATGTCTAATTTATCATACGAGGGAAGACTAGACAGTTTAAATCACTTGTCCCTATGATAATGTAGACGGATTTAATTACTATGTTTAAAATTGTAAATAATGACTACGGACCTGATCTACTCTCTCTTTTCCTACCCACCAGGTGGAAACACTTCAGAGGACATAGCAAGAGAGTTCAAAAGCCAAGGAGAAACCATATTGCTGTGGAGTACTGGTCCCCACACCGAGTCATAAACTCCCGGAACCGACTCCCAATGGACGTGGTGTCTGTAACCTTAAATGATTGCTTCAAGAGGGGTTTCGACAAGCAGAAATTTACTAGAAGGGATTAACACAGGCTCCAAGCTTTCCATCCTCAATCAATAAATCTGAATGTGAACAATAACCTGAGGTAGAAAATGTGGGATATACGTGGTAACAGGCCTAGTGCCCCATGAGTTACTTTCACATCACAAAAATACTGAATAATAAGCGTGCATAAATCACAAGTCATTGAGGAAGGAGATATGGTCAAGATAATGCCTTCTGAAAAGCGAACAAACCAATACAGTGAACTACATACTACATATAAAATTTACATATAATGAAGGATGTATACGATATGTAGTACACAAAAAAGCATATATTTCGTACACAAGCGTATTAGCCAATGAACAGTCTATATACTGAAAATCAAGTTCAAATAATAAATTCAGTAAGGCAACATGAAAGTGGAGTAAATAAGACTATTTTCTTTCATCGTATACTGAGATGCTGTCTGCAAATCACTATTGTTCATAAGAAACAAACCTCAGAACTTTTATGAAAAATTCCGTATCACATACAATGTGTAAAGTGTTCTGTCCTGACTATTAAAATTATACAGACATTTTAAGGTCAAATTGTATCGAACACTTTTGAAAATGTGCTCAAAGAGAGAAGCTTTCAATATCCAATATCCAATATCCTGATTACGAGGTAGTATAAACCAGTGATTTCTTTGAGCTCGCTTCTTGATTTTAAGGTAGAGGTTCCAGATCTTCGGTGAACTTATGCGTAGTAAATCCCGCCACTCGACTGCTTTAGCTCTGGTAGACTCCAGGAGGAGTGATGCGAGGATTGGTCAAGATTGTGGTTTGTAGTGTGCAGTATGTTAGGACTCAGCTGCTGCCGTGAATGGAGTTTGACCTAACACCCGTCGGTCATTCGGTATAGTCATAAAAGTAGAGTAATAATAATAATGATAATGATAATTATAGGTTGTAGTGTAGATAATATAGGTTGAGATAAGTGAAATAATAAAGAAAGAAAGATAGAGTAGTCGGTACAGTGGGAGAAGACAGGACGGGTCGTGAAGATTTAGCTTGTATGCTTATCCATTGACAATGTGGTTTCAAATTTTAAGAGGGTAAGCCATTGAGACACAAACCATGCATTTCTGCATGATTGTCCAGCTTCCGCTTAAAAATCTCCACAGATGGAGCTGTAGTTACGGCCGCCGGTAAAGCGTTCCAGAGACGGCAAACTCGAAGCGAGAAGAAATGTGAACGCACTCGAGTCCTTGGTCTCTGGTGTGCTATCCTTAGCGAGTTACCTCGTGGAAGCCTATAATCACTTAATGGCAGGATGCTCTTGTTAGGATGGGCCTGGTCATTTAGGATCTTATAGACGGTGATGAGGTCTCCCCTGTGACTACGGTAACTAAGTGTGAAAAGACTTAATTTCTTCAGTCTCTCCTCATATGATTTGTTGCGGAGGCCGATCACCCATTTTGTCGCTCGTCTCTGGACACTTTCTAGCATGTTAGCATCCCTTTTGAGTAGCGGAGGAGCAATGATATTATGCACCTCAAGGAGTGGCCTCACGTATGTCGTATACAACGTTAGGAATAGTTCAGGAGTAAGAGCTCCCAGTTGCCTATGCATAAAGTGTAAAGTGCCGTAAGCTTTGGCGACGTCCCTCGTGTAATTTACACTGGTGTCTAGCTTTTCTGTTAAAATAAGGCCTAGATCGCGTTCTGATGGCACACAACTCAAGTTCTGGCCACCAAGGGTGTAATTTGCACTCTGTGACCTGCCGGAATGAAGTTGCACTACTTTGCACTTCTTTAAGTTGAAAGGCATTCCGTTAGCCAGAGCCCAGTCCCCCAGCGTTTGCAGGTCAGCCTGCAATCTGTCGGAGTCTTCCGATGAGTTTATTGCTCTCCAAATCTTTACGTCGTCAGCGTAAAGAAGCGCAGAGCAATTCAGTTGACAGGGCAGGTCATTGATAAAAATCAAAAACATCAACGGCCCTAAGATAGAACCCTGAGGAACCCCTGATGCCGAGGTGTGCCAGGATGATCGGATGCGGTTGACTTTGGTGCAGAATTCTCTCTCGCCTAAATAATCTTCCAGCCATGCGAGAAGTGCTCCAGAAACACCCGCTTTGCTTATTTTGTGAAGGAGCAGACCATGGTGAACTGTGTCGAATGCTTTCGCAAAGTCGAGAAAGATCACATGGACTGGTACCTTTACATCCCAGGATAGTGTCCAATCGTTCCAAGCTAGTAGAAGATTCGTCACACAGGATCTTCCCTTCCTGAAACCATGCTGTGCTTCATGGAGTAGGTTAGTCCCGTCGAAGTATTTTCTCATGTGGTCGTCAATGAGACTTTCGAATATCTTCGATATCACTGGGAGTAGCGCAACTGGTCTGTAACTGGTCGCGTTCTGCCGGTCACCACCCTTGAAGATAGGGGATAGGATGGCTCGTTTCCATTCACATGGAAGTTTCCCTACATCAAAGGAGTGTTGAAACAGATCACTTAGGGGTTGGCAGAGACTTTCTGAACACTGCTTCAGGACGGATGGTCTTATGTCGTCGCAACCTGCAGACTTTCCCGAAGCCAACTTTCCCAATTTTATGAGTACCATAGCCGGGGTAATTTGAAATGTACCCAGCAGGTTTTCGCACGTTGGTCTTGCATTGTAATCTTGATGTTTTGTGAGGGTAAAATCCTCGTTACTGTTCAGTTGCCTGTGAAAGGCTAGACTGAATGTCTCTGCCATTTCAAGACTAGTAAGAGATTTCCCATCAGAACCCACTATATTGCAAGCTCCCTGGTTGGTCGGTTTTCTTTCAGACATAAACCTGTATAGGCTTTTGGGGTTCACGAGAAGCTTATTGGCGAGGTTTCTCTGAAATGTCCTTCTATCACTCCGAACTCGTATGTTACACCGATTCCTGAGTTCGAGGTACTCTTCATGTTCGGGTTGACTCTGCGATACTCGCCACGCAAACCAGGCTTTTCGCTTCGCCTGTAGAAGGCGTTGTGTCCCCCTTTTTAGCCATGAACGTTGCTTTCTAGCTTTAGGTGTGACCAAAGGAACAGTGTCTGAGATCGCCTGGTGAATGATCTCCTTTACCACTCTCCAGTGTTCTTCTACTGTAAGCTCTGTCCAATTTTTTGGCCAATTTGCTTCAGACAAAAGTCTTCGCATTTCGGTGTAATTGGCTTTGTTATAACACAGATAGGGCTGTGTATTGTCCCACTGTAAACGCTCGCGGAGGACTATGTCGAATATTATGACCGCATGGTCACTACTACCTATGGGAGTCGTGATCTGAACGTTTTCCACTAGTAGCTGGTCACTAGTGAGCACGTAATCCAGTCTAGAAGACTTCCCATCTTGGCCCCATCTAGTATCCATTCTGACATTTTCGGTGAATCCGGCCTCCGTGATGGTATGCAGCAGATTTCGATCAAATCTGTCCTGGGCACATCCCGTCATCAAGTTAAGAGATGGGGCATTGAAGTCTCCAGCTATGACAATTTGATCATAACCCAGGTCATGTGTCGCTGAAATTGCATTCAGCAGTACCTGGTTGTGGTCTGCTCCACATGAAGGTGATCTGTAAATGCTGCCCACTAGATACTTACAGTACCCAACGGTGAAATGGCACCATATGGAGTCAGGGAGCTCAATGAGGGGAGGGTCGATTGCATGGACACATCTGAGCTGTTTGTCGACGTATATGGCGACTCCACCTCCTTCTTTCAGATCCCTATCTCGCCTGACAAGGACCATATCATTTATACTGACTTCGCTGTCTGCCACCATAGGGGTTAGCCAGGTTTCCGTCAGTATTATGATTTTGGAGTTCAGCTGTGATTGTAGGTATCTAAGTTCAGCTATTTTGCCTCTTAGACCTCTCACATTACTGTACAGGCAACTGGTAGTCAGTCTCACCACGTCCCCGTATTGGGGGGTGGTTGACGTGATGTGGGCTGTCGGTTGAGGAGTTATCCTACGAACTAGTTGGCCGATTCCCCGGGAACCGGCCTGTTGGAGTTTTTTTCTTCTGATTCAATCGGAGCACTTGGATGGCACTGGCTATCATCGTCCGTGCTGCACCGCTGTATTGTGACTAGGGGTTGGGGATGTTCTATGACAACGTTTTGCTCTCTCCTTTGGGTACGAGGCCGGCTCTCGCAGCAGCGAATGTGTCTGCTGACCTTGTCTTTGGTCTCGTACCATCTCTGGAGAGCAGTAGTCAAGTGGTCTCGGGAGCTAAACTTAACAGCTAACAGATGTGGGGTGTTAATTGACATTAGGTGAGTGGGTCGAGGCAGTCTAAAAATAGAGACAGCCCCTGAACTTCCCAGACCCATCTGGGATGCCAACCATCTCCATTGCTGGACATCGTGACAGTGCTTCTCACAAGCGTTCCCGGTTTCCAGTTCAGGAATGCCGTGAACAACCATGGAGGCAGAAGGAATAAGCTCTGGCGACTCCCTCGCCATCTGTCTTTCCTTCCATGGCCTATCTGGCCTAACACGTATATTGCAGGTCCTCCCTATAGAAAGGACTTGGGAAGTCAATAAAACTTTTTCGGCATCTTCGGCAGAGCCTAGTGTTACCCTCAGTGGGGATGGTTTGCCTTGAGGAGCAGCAGTGCCCTTATACAATCTGCACAGTTTTACTGGTTGGATGTCCAGACCCAGTGTGCTACATAAGTTGGACCACTGTTCCTGATCAAACAGGGCCCTGTTTTCCAGCAGACTACTGCTACAGTCTGGTACATTAAAGAGGATAACGCAGTTTGATCGACTGACCGTGGATTTAGGTTCGGTCCTCGCACATTTGTCATCCCCCTTAAGACCGTTTTGTTTCATCTGGTGCAACTGGGTATTATTATGTGTCGCAGTGCTGTGGCCACTTTTACTGGTGGACGGTAAGGGTCTTTTCCCGGCGACAGGTACCCTTGGTGCTTCAACCTCTGTGTCTGGGGCGGTTATGGCAGGAATTGCAAGTATAACCGGTGTGGATTTTGGTATCCCCGATTTACATGCAATTGTGCTGTTTTCTGAGTTGGTGGGAGTGAAACGTTTCACGTTTTTTCCTGATATCTCTATGACATCTGTAGCTTTCGAGGAACTACACGAGGCTGCATTAGGACGGCAACTTGGGCAAATGTACCAGAACCATGGGCATGGGTTCTTACGCATAAAATCGTAATATACCTTTGGTACCCCGGTGTCACATCTACAATGTACCCATTGCTTACAAAAGTTACATTCGAAAGCAGAATCTGCTTGTTCGACAATAGAATTGCAGACCTTGCAATCGTCTGCCTTCTTGGGGAACGTTGTAGTCGTCTTGCGACGTCGTGAACGTCTCTTATTGGCCTTCCTGTTTGTTTCAAGGCCTACTGTGGATATAGGTGTCATACTATTCACCTGTTTGCTTAGTTTGGCTGAAGCTCTGGTGACTACGGTGCATGGTCTCCCATTACTTATCTTGGGATGAGAATCTATAGTCATTTTACTCCTAAAATAATACCGATGATTAAATGATAAGAGAGAGTGGAGTTTTGTCCAATAGACTGACAGCAAAAGACAGTAGAAAGCACAGAACGGAAAGATAAAGTATATAAGTAAAAGCTTTTGACTTTACCTGTAAC